GGGGGGGGGGGGGGGGGGGGGGGCAATTACCTTCAACTCTTTCAGATAAGGTTCATCTCGGAGATCTTTTTGTTTGTCTCCCACCTTACCACTGCCAGCATGTTTACCTGCTAGATTCAAAACAGGAAATCCAGCCCTTTTTGCAGCATCATGTTCAGCTCTAAGCTTCGCTAGCTTGGAATTGCTCTCTTCCAGTTCAGCCACTGCACTTTCCAATTCCACTTTGTACCAACAAATAAAAAAAAAAATTAAAACACAGAATATACAGCAGGCAACGATTATAAGAAAAATCTTCTCCTTCGGATCCTAATCCCTGTATACTGTGGATGGCATTCCCTTTTTTCTTTTCTGTGATAGAAAACAAATTATTTCGTTCGTTAAATGAAATTATAAGAAAGAAGAAAACCCCTTACATAGTCACAAAGTCCTAAAAAGAAACCCCAAATTGAAAATGAGAGATTTTTTAATAAGAAATTGGATATTTTGTTGATAAGGGATTGCTACAAAAGAATCACCAAATTGTCTTACTTCTCTCCAGAAAAACTTCCCACAAAATAGCCAAGAAGAATTAAGCCAAAGAGTACATGTGCTCTATCATTAAATTTTTCCCACAGCTGAAGATAAGCAGACTTCAAATCCTCGAAATAAAAGGCAAAGTGATCCCCAAAGAGATTAAACGCCCTCAACCAGAATGGCAAGTGTGTAAGAGTTTTTGGAAATATGGTGATGGCACTCCAACACTGACTAAAGGAATGAAAGCTGGAAGAATTTATGCTGTTAACTCCATCACAAGGTTGTAACCCTGAACAGCCCATAAGAAAATTTTGCATTTTCTGAGGGTCTTAGACCTTTCAAATAGCTTTGCACATATGAGCAACACATGACGTGTACAGGCCCATGTATAGAAATCCCAAAAATCTCTCTCCAGCATGACTTTAGAAGACAACACAATATCTTAAGCATATCTTAAGCACCCTATGTTAAACATCCTATAATTCTTCACAAGCCAAATACCCCCTGTGACGGTCTCAATCCAAATATTTCTAGTTTTAACTAGAATCTTTTGAGCCAGAAATTCGACCTTTCAGGCCATACACTAATTAATGCTGAACGGTTCACAAAAAGCACACAAATTGTCACAAAAGGGGAAGTACTGCCCAAAATGGTCCAAAGTTTCGTCACTATTTTTGCATACAATACACTAAAGAGGAGAATTACACAAATTTGGATTGTAGCTTTTCTGCCCAACACATTTAGCTTGCAAAAAGACAAATCCAAAAGAAGAATCAAGCTTAATCGGAAAATTTCAGCTTCTATATAAAACTAAAGGTCGAGAACTTTGCAGTTCAGATTATATGTTCGTACTTAATCTTATACCCAATAAACCTTCTATTCTCCCTGCATCAGCCACAGTAGCATCCTTTCATTAAGATTCCTCCTCAACCACAAATCTCAATCCGAAGCAATATTAAAAATGGAATCAAGGAAATCTCAGTCTACAAAGTTCACATCTTACAAGAACAAAGTTTCCCTCTTGACTTTTTATATTTATCAACCACCTTATAAGCAGTAAGGATGGAATAAACACTCTTTGATGGAGCCTCCTTCCTTAGTGCTTAGAATAAAAGGTAAGAGCAGCCTCGTTGAAGGCTTCCTCATTGGTAAGGATAATAAGAGAGTGAAATCTTGGGAAATAGGGAAGCAAGAAAAAGAAAGAAACAGGGCAACCTTCTTTTTTGTTTTAACCAAGATGATCTGACAAAAGATAGTTAAAAAATGAGTCATATACCTTCAGCGTGCCATCAATAGACGAGGGAGTTCCAAGGCACACAATACTCTAGAAAAATTGCCTTGTATTAGGAGGCAGTGAAGCAACCTCTATGTACAAAAAAAAATGTGCCACGTACGTTTTCTTTCATATTCCTAGTATCAGGCCCCATCCCACTATTCCACTAGGAGACTTCAGAAGCCCTAAAATTGACTTCTAGAGACAATAAGAGTTTTCTTCCAAGAAGCACAGATATGGAAGTGAATCACCAAGGTGACACGAACGATGGCACATCATTGCCAAAAAGTTTAGTACAAAAACATGAGAAGGAAACTATTAGTAAAAGTATATCTAGTTTTAACTCAATCATGTGATAAACATTTCCAACAGCAAATGACAAATAATATGAAATGTCTAGAAGTTACCTTTAAAACATTTTAGCTCAGCTTTAGCTTTCGCATCCAAGTCCCGATGATTCTGCAATTCTTTAGCCAACATCTTCTTCTTAAAAAAAAATTCCTTTACTCTCAACCTCATATTCCTTACTTGATTAATCAAGTCGCCAGGTGCCCTAATCCTGAATGAATCTAACAAAACAACCAATGTTTATAGAGAACGAAGCAAGAAACCAAATGGGATAAAGAATAACAGAGATACAGATTATCACATAAGAATCCATGGACGCATACCATTTTTTGGGAGCTCATTCAACAATGTAGCATGTAAACCATCCTTCAGATACCAAAGATTTTCAATTGCCGCATCAATATTCTGCTTGATGATATTGGTCTTCTCACATGGTGATTCAGCTTCTTGTTCTATGTGCTTGGAAGAACTATAGGTTGATGAACTTTGAGTAGCACCTGTTTCAGCAAGCCGACTAAGAACAGCATCTTCAAAGCTAGACGAAGATCCATCTACAATGCAATTAAGAAATACTAAATGTTCATAACTAGCAAAACAATGGGACCAAGCTATGAAAATGATCAGAGATTCTTAAGGTTAAAAGAGACAAGAAACCAAAAGAACAAGCAGACCATCTTTATTAGTCAACATCTTTTAACTATTTTAACTCCAATTTGACTAAACATAAAAGGAGTATAATTACAAGAGGAATTGAAACGCATCCACCAACAAGCATGAAACTAATATAAGTTTAGAACCTCTCCCCAGCTTGTGCTCTTCCCTGTGGGAAGAGAGAGAGAGAGCGAGAGAGGAAACAAATATTTCAGAGATGATATAAAATATCAGAATATTGGTTACTCTATACATGAAGATGTACCACTACCAAAGAGAGTTGCAAAAAACCTCTCCATTTAATTTCCTATACGGAGCCATTTACCATGGAAAAAAGTCTTGGCTTTCAGAAAGAAAAAAAATCCAAATAACTTGCTCAAAATATTCTTCGATCGTGCCACCAGCACCCATAGACCAGGAATGTGAATTAGAAAAAGGACCAAAAATATATACTTAAGGACGTACTAAGGAATTAAAACCAAAGCGGCCTATATTGCTAAGTTTGAGAACCTCAACTGTGATCTGTCTTTTGTAGCAGCTCCCCAGTCCCCAATCGAAAATATTAGCAATCACTAGCTCGTTGTTAAGCAATGGAGATGAACTAATCAATTGAAAGAAGTTTTTTTCTTTTTTTTCATGAGAAGCCAACTTTCAGTCGGTAGAATCAAGGCAACCCCATTTGGAATATGCATGATCTCATGACAACCAAAATACTTTAATCCTCAAATTACAATATGCATCCTAAAACCTAGAGTGTTTCAATATTAGGTGGCAATGGAATTTATTGAAACAATGATCCATAACGCTGCTAAGTTCAAGTTCCAGAACCATTAACAGGTAAAATGGTAATTAATAAAATATAAAATGAAATGTTGGAAGCCTATATAAATAAACAAGATACCAAGAAAGAG